CTTCACCACAAGTCCCTCCCCTGAGCTGACCCCTCCCCGCCATTCTAAAAGGGGGAAATGCTTCTTGGATTGAGACGGTCAGATGAAGAACACACGGATCTTTTGGTATTTTGGCCCATCCCCTTTGTTTCTGACCCCACCCACCTCTGGTCTGTGCTTCCAAGGGCTTCTCCAAAACTTGGCCCCAAAGGGTGAAAGAGCTAAGGGCAGACCCACGCAAGCTTCCTGACAGTCAGGACCCCGACCCCGAGGGTGTGGAATGGGCTTCCACGAGAGGTGGCTGAGGCCCCATCAGTGCGGGTGTTCAAGGACAGGCTGGACGTCCACATGGTGGGCGTGTCGTGAGCGGAGCCGGCTGGAGCCGGAGGTCAGACTAGATGGCCCGGGAGGCCCCTTCTGACTCGTTCTGTTTCTATGTTTCTGAGCTTTCATGAGCAAAGCGAGTGCTTCAGGGTCCTGGAATGTACTACACGCAGGCAGACCTCCTGCAGGCTACCCGCTAGATGCACGGAACAGTTAATAAACGAAGGGAAACAGGCTGACGAGGAGAAGGAGGGGGGCAGGAAAAGGGTGGTGGGAAAGCTCTCGGGGGCAGACGATGCTCGGCATTTAGAGCGGGGCCTGTGCCTTTGGAAAGGTGGTGAGGGAAGGGCGGGGGGGCAAGATGACTATGGAGGCTTCTTCGGTCTCAGATAGGGTACCCTCCCATTGACTTGCAACCAGCCCATAAAACTATTTTAAGCCTTCCTCTTGCTGGCTTGTGATGAAGGCGTCACAGCAACAAAATCACCCTGTCTGGCAACCCAAAGGAGCCTTTTTATAAACTGAGCACAGAGAGAATTCAGGAGCCAACTGGAGCAGTTCTGTCTGCTGACCAAGAAACAGAAGCTTGGCGAACGGAGGGATTACGTACTGCGAGAGACATGCCCAGCAAGGAAGGGGAAAAAGATCGAGCCAGGATCCAAAGAGGCATGTAACTTACTTCTTGTGTGCTCGACAAGGCTTGCCTTGACTCCTGCGGAGAACCAGGGGGACTCCTGCGACGAGATGAAACCCGAGCATCACCCAGGTTATGAAAAGCATCTGCTGCTCAGGTCCCACACTCCTCACCTGGATCCTCCATTTCCCTCCCGGACTCTCTCCACCCTCAAGGCAAAAGGGAGAGCCAGAGGTGAATGAGAAAGGTGTGCTCAGCTGCTGGGGGTCTTCACCCTCAGGGGCAGAGAGACACACAGAACAGGTCCACGTGTGCCTCATCAGCCAGCAGGTTGCCAGGAATTCTTTCGGCTTCTCCGAGATGTTCTGCAGGGCTAAACAGCTCCCCAGAAGTCTCCACCGGCCAGTCCCGGTTCCAGGCCTCGTGGACTTGTGTCTCAGCTCCAGCATCCAACTCTGTGCCAGCTGCTCTTCTCAGCCCATCTGCCTCTGCATCACTGCACCCCTGCTGCAGATGCCCCTTCCATACAGGGCTTCCTCCAGCGTGAACCCCGCACTCCCGTGGCACCCAGGGATGAGGAAAGGGCCCCGAGTGGCACCACATGCTAAGCCACTGGGGGGTGTCCTTTGTTCAAGGGTCATTTGCCATTTCCGATCACATGGCATTGCTTTTCACTACAGCAACCAGGACAAATCCTCTAGAAAAACCGCTCTGGCACTTTAGCCAATCTCAGGCTGAACACCAGCAGTGGGCCCCTGATCTTGCTGGGAATCGTCTGCTGCCAGGTTCCCCATCCGTAGTGACACCTCCAGGTTCCCATTTCCCCTCATTATTATTCACCTATTTGTCCACAAGCCACAAATCCATGGTTTTATTTCCTTAACTTGAGTAGAAGGACGTTTATGCCACTCATATCAGCACAAGACCATCATGGCAGACGCAGCTGTGCAGGCTATTAAAACCTAATAAAAACAAGTTCCACCTTTCAGAACTTAGAAAAAACCCACCTTTTTTTAAAGGAAGGCATTATATGTGTAATCTGCTGTTTTTTAATCCTACTCTGGTTTTCGAAACGTTACAATATTTTGCCTGTTGTTTCATTTCTAACTGCTTTTTTGCTCGTTTACCTGGTAAAGGGTTATGAAACATAATTTAATTATCAATGTATGCTTTTTGGTTTGGTTTCGTTATTCACTAGCTAAACCACTTTAGGAGGAAAGAAAGGATATATAATGTTAAAAAGGGGAGGGGGAATTTAGCCAGAAACTCAACACCACTTCAAAAACACCCCGGACCTACACCTGCTAATGGGCAACCGTTAAAGATTTGTGACTGTTCATCTACTGCCCTTCGAATTCTTAAAAGGGAAGGAGGCAGGGCGGGTCTAATGTACTTTGTACTCTCTGGTACAAGGAAGCGGCAATGGGTGGAGGGGAGGAGAAAAAGAGAAGAAAGTCCACTTTGAAAAGGTGGAAACAAGCGGGTTCCCACAAAACGCTTCGAGGGACTTCATCTTAATGGGCATTTCAGCTCAGAGAGTACTGGAGTTTTAACCCATGAAAAGACACGTTTAAGTGCGTCTTGCTCTCCCGGGCAGGAAGTTGCCCTCTTGGAACTGGTGATGCAATATTAACTCCAAGTGGGATAACACCCCCCCCATGTATAGACACACACACACACACTCACACATGTATAGACACAGCCTCCCCTCCTCTGGAGTCCACGTTGACAAATTCTCTAACAAGCCCTGTGGTTACATGGAAGCTGGTTTCATTCTGAGTCATCCCTGTTCAAACAATTTACTGGAAATGGGGAGGAGGGGGGATTTTCAGAGAAATCATGTGATGGCCAGACAAACCACAAACAGCATAAGGTTCAGAAGAGTCAAAGAAGAGAAGAAGATAGCCTGAATTCCCTCACGCCTGGCTCCCAGCAAGAAGTGACGCCCCTCGAGGCAACTTCGCTTGATCTTTCCGAGGCTGCAGTGTGCTCAGCCTCTTTGCATCATTTAAAAGAAGAGTCAGGAGAGAACCAGGCAGAGTGTAAGCACTGCAGCAGGGCCACTGATAGTAACACAGGGCAACGGCCCAATATTTGTATTTATTCTCTGGCCTGGGAGCCGGACGGCATGTGAGCAGAGCTGGAATGCTGGACGCGTACGTCGTGACCTGCGGAGGACGGGCTGCCCTGGGGTGGCCCCTCCTGCCGCACATCGCTGCCTCGAGGTGATCCGTGCGAGCGCTTTTCGAAGGAGCCCGAGGCACTCTCTGCAGAGGCTTCTTCAGGGGAATGAATGACTGAAAGCACGTGGCTGGCTGGGTACCTCAGAGACCGGAGAAGTGCAGTCGGTGTCTTACACTTTGCTGCTCTCCGAGGTCACTAAGCGGGCACAACATCCCTCAAAGGAAGCAAAGAAACCATCTTCCCGCCAGGGTGGGCGACTGGTGGCCCTGCCGGCGGTTTAGGTCCACATTTCCCATCTTCCCTTACCATGCTGGCCAGGTCTGGTGGCAACTGGAAGCCGGCGATTTCTGGAGGACCGTATGTTGCCTTCTCAAGTTGCCTTGAGAAGATGCCCAGAGGGACGCTTAACAGACCTGGGTTCTGCAGGACACCATCCCACATAAAAGCGGCACATGCGGACTGAGCTGTATTTAGGCAAACTTGGAAGTAATCACGAGGTTTTATTTGAATTCCACAGGTGGCAATGCCAGCCAGGAGACTGCTTCTCCAAATCAGTTCAAAGCGATTCTTCCACTGACTTTTTTCCCCGCCTGACAAGGTCCAAAATCAGGCACTCCTCTTCTACTTTTTCCTAAGCTTGCCTGCTATCTAAGGGGGAAGCGAGAGATTTTGGAGGGGAGGTTGCAGTTTTCCAGGAGAGGGAAATATTCTTTCCCTCCTTCTTTGCGACCTGCCCCCCCAAAACTGGCTCTTGAACAGCAAGTAAGCTGGAAGGAGAAAATAAAACCTCCCATCAGCACCAATGGCTATTCAGGGATTTGGGGGAAAAGATTGTCGTCGTCCACCCCCCACGTCCACCCCCCGCCCCCCGCCTTTCCCTTGTTCCCATTCTGCTTCCAGTCCTTTCCATTCCTGCCAAGGAGCTTTTCCAATGTAAGCATGAAGGACAGCATATAAACGTTTCAAATAAATAAATAAAATCAGAGGTGGAGGCTAAATTTCCCATTTCATAGTGAATGAGGCGAACTGAGTCCCACCATAAAGATATGCACAAGCACGTGTGTGTGTGTGTGTGTGTGTGTGTTGCAAACGCTGGATTCTGGACAAGCGATCAAACCGAGGCGGGGTGTTCTTGGGCGGCACGCTTTTAGAACCCACTCTAGATTTTCCCTAGAAACCTGAGACACACATTCAGGTCGGTGGACATAGAACTGTGAAAGGAAATGCCTCCGAGCAGATGCTTGGCCCAGAAATTGGTGTTTAGCCCTGGAATCAGAGTTCACACACACACCCCTTCATCCACAAATTTACTCCTCCGACTCACCAGATCTTTTCTGATGCCACGGGTTTAATTTTGAAATTTGGGGTTTGGGGTGGGGAAGAATAGCTGTCGGTAAATTAGATCCCCTTTCTGATCTGCTGCAAATAACCCAGATGACCGAGAACCTCAATCCTGATCCAGAAAAGGAATCCCCTCCCTCACAGCAGTCTTTCCATCTTAAACATCACTATCGCTTCCTCTTCTTCCTCTGTTCCCACAGGGCCGTTTCCTAATTTTACAGAGTAAAACTGCATGCATAGCTTGGATGTCTATTAAATGCAGTGTTTTATAGCTTGCATTAAAAGTGCTCCACTTTTAATAGTAATAATAAGAGTAAAAGTAGCAAGTAGTAAAACTAGCAAGAGTAAAACTAGCAACTATACTCCTACTAAAGTAATGACGCAGTAATACTAACTAGTGTTGTGATAGTAGCAACAACAGCCATGACACCGCTGCCCCTGTAAGGAACAAGCAGCAGTAACCCAACTCTAATTCCAGTGAGTAACTTCTCAAACACACATGGCGGGATGCAATATTTTGCTCTCCAGGAGCCCTTACCTGTGCAGTCTCAGCATGTTCCAGCATCTCCTCAAATTCCTGATACTCTTCATCATCGGGCTCTGCTCCAGAGAGACGGGCCGCTCTGGCCATGAAGTAAGGAGGCAGCTCCCCAATGGCTGTACCAGCACCCTGGATGGGGAGAGCAAAGCATTACCACAAAGAACAAGAAAACCTGCATTTTTCAAGCCTTCCCCCTTCGGCATCTTGCACTTTTGTTAGAAAATCCATAGGATCGATTGAAAAAAAAAAAAAAACCCAAGAATTTATTCCACCATCTTTTCTTATCAATAGGACGTGCTAAAACTACCGAGCTGCATCGCTGTGGGATTTTCATGTGCTTGAGACAGCAATCCCGAACACACTTCCAAGGAACCAGTCCCACGGAACTAAAATCAAGAAACAGAATGCGACATGTAGATTGCAAAGCCTATCGCACCTACTGAGATCAAAAGAAATCCGTCACTTTGATGGGATCGTGCCCAGACTTCTCCTAATGGTTCTTGATGTCATGAGCAGTCTTGATCTTTCAAAGACTGAGATATGAATATATATGGGGGAAGCAACATGGAATTCTCCTATTTACGTCCCGTCCTTTTTCTACTTCGCATGGCATGGGACATGGAGCAATCATTCCTAAAACAAGTCCCTTAAGGCAAATTAAGTTTCCTGGATTAAAACCTTGGATCTTCCTGCCCAAGCCCTCAACACAGCGGTTCTGCTGCACTTCCAGCAAGCGTATTTAGTCATCCAGCCTGACACAGGACACGCCAAATTAATGAGCCAAGTACCAGAATCAAACTGATCAGAAGAACCTGAACAGATTTGGGAAAAGAAATTAAGCACGCAAGTATAAGGGGCTGAAAACCCGGCTTGGCGATAAAAGGCGTGATAAAGATCCTGGAGCGTGATTCGGTCACTAGCCAAGTGGGCCAGCAGTGTGAAGCAGCAGCAGAAGCAGCCAAGACGGTAAATGCAACTGGGGGCTGTATCAAGAGAAGCCCGTTTTCAGTACTGCAGGAAGCGACCGTTCCACTGTGCTGGGCAGGCCTCAGCCTACTAAGCCCCTTTCTGGCCACTGCACTTCAAGGAGGGTTCTGATGAATCCACGTGAGTTCAGAGAAGGGCTACAGCAGCAACCAGGGGACAACTCAGCGCTTTGGGGTGTGCTTTGCCTTGGGGGGGGGGGGGAAAGACAGAGCTTATGAGAGCATTTCTGAAGGATTCGGCCCAGAAGAGGGCTGCAGCCTGTTCTCTATCAACCAAGGCTGCAGAATTGAAAATAATGGCCTTAAGGGACAGGAAGGCAGGTTTTGATTTAAACATAAAGAAAAACTCAGTGTCAGGCAAAGCAGTTAGATCATGGCACCGACGATGAAGGAGCGGGTGGGCTCGCCGCCACTGGGCGTCTTCAAGCAGCGACCGCACAGCCATCTGTCGGGGTGGCTTGATCGGGATTCCTGCACTATGCACAGGAATGGACCCGACTGAGGATGGCTGTGATCGTTGTAATACACACAGGCATCCCAAGAAGGTTGCCAGCCCTAGGCTTTCCCTGCCAAGCTCGGCCTCGCCCTCTGGCCCGTGTCGCCAGCTGCTGACCCACCCCTGCAAGCGGCCAGCTGGGGAAAGGCTGGCTCACCCCTGTTCAACCTCCCTGCTTGCCCCTCACCCCGCAGAAAATTTAAGCCCTCTGGTTTAAGCGGTGGCAGTGAGCCCCGGTGCTCCCTCTTCCAACAGACCTCACCGTCCTGGCGGAGCGCAAGCTGAGCTCCTGCCACCAGGGAGATGGGAGGGTTTTTTCCTTCGTGACAAAAAAAAAAACAAAAAACAAAACCTGGGACTCTTTCACCTGTCCTACGCCCAGAGACGGTGCCATACCGGCCATCTGCTCGTGGAAGGTTAATGGAACTGGACGTTTGACTCACATTCAAGCGGTGACTTAAAAACGCAGGAAAGGGTACAGCGGATAACAATTGGACAGCTGTCGGGGGAGGGACACACCTCGGTCGCCGGCAGATGTCCTTGCTTAGCGCCGCTGCCGAGTGATAAATTGCTTTTATCGAGCCTCTTTTCAAACTCAGCAACTGTTTGGTTTTCTTTGTTCCCTCGCCACAAGCAGCTGCCAGGAAGAATTGCAGCTGCCTTGTAGACTTGAGCAGAACCATCAGGTTGGTCTCAAACCCTAATTTTAAGTTTAATTTAATTTTTTTCCTGGAGAAATGTTTGTCTGATTGTCAAAGCCAAAGTCTTGCCAAGGGGGGAAAAAAGACATAAACACGGTGCTCCACATGCTGTTTCTCATGATTATCCAGATGTGGATAATTGGAATCCAGGAAGCAAGTCCTGCATTCAGCTGTCCTGAATTCAAATCCAACTCTGGATTTGGCCTGCAAAGAGGGTTTTGAGTTGAGTTTGCAGAAATGTCAGTCCGTGGGCCAGTTCTAAATTCACTAGTGGAGAATCATGGCGGGTGGCCTTCCCGAGCTGGGAGCCTGCCTGATGTAGCACACTGCAGCTCCTTCCATCCCTGAGCATTGGCTAGGACTGATGGGAACTGTAGTCCAAACCATGTAACACCCATTCTGACCCACTGGCATTGGCTGCCTATAAGCTTCCGAACTCAATTCAAGATGCTAGTTTTATTTTATTTTATTTTATTTAAACGTCATTTTAATTGTTAATATTATTTGCTTATTTTATCTGGCCAGGGCGACTTATTTTATATTGTCAATTTGTTTTATATTTTTAATGTGTTATATTTTAATCTATGTTGTGAGCCGCCCCGAGGCTTCGGCGAATGGGGCGGCATAGAAATGTTTTAAATAAATAAATAAATAACCTATATAGCCCTGCATGGCTTGGGACCACAAGACCTGATAGAATACCTCTCCCAACCTAGGTCTACCCAGAGGCCATTCTCTGACTGCCACCTCCAATGGATGTCTGAGAAAAGGCCACAAGGAGGAGGGCTTTCTCGGTAGTGGCCCCCGCAGTAGAATACTCTCCCCACTGAAGCCCAGCTGGCACGAACACGGCCCTCTTTTCAGCATCAGGTTAAAAGTCCCCTCTGCGCTCAGACATTTAATGGTGTATGGCAGGATATGCCAGCTGCTTAAATAGGTCTAGCTTTAGTGAAATTGTTTTAGATGTCTAAACTGCATTAACTCTGGCATACTAGAATTTCACACTGCGTTCGATTATATCCATGCTCGTATCTCATCCATTCATCTGTTTTCACTATTGGAACGCTGATAATAGCTTTATGAACAGGAGAGCGTTGCCTATTAGACAGTATAGAAATAGAGTGAACAACACCACCACCACATCTAGAGAGCCCCAAGCTGGAGGCGGCTACTCTAAAATAGATGGAAGCCTCCACTTGTCTAACTAACAGAAAACAATACCCCCACGAGTAGGGCAGGAGCCCAAATTTAGACGGCAAGCGCCCCATTTTAACAACAAAGGAACTATCCAGGGCTTGTTGTAACTGTCGTAACTACTATTACATTTATTTATATCCTGCCTATCGCCAGTGACTGGGACTCAACGCAGCCCGCAACATAAAAACACATACAAGGGAAACATCCAAAGGAAACTCACAAAAGCTTGCAAGTTCCATCACCCTGCAGGGACCCTGCTTTTAATTCCTGCAGCTCATGTATTATATTTACTTGTACGCTGAAAAGTGCGGTCAAGGGGATCGGAGGGGTAGCAGGCCGGGGAAGACTAGGTGCATTAAACCCCGCTCTGGTCAAGGTGCATGTGCACGAAATCCGTAACATCCTGTGCCCATTGATGCAAAAGCAAACAGCAGGCCAAGGTTGGTTGTGTGCTCGGATCAACCGTCTGCCCTCATGCCCCCCGGTGTGTCCGTGGGGCAGCTTCATTCAGGGCCCTCGCAAGCTCGGTGCAGCACCCCCCTCGGTCAGCTCAAGAGCAGCAGGTCGGGCGGGAGGGGCCAGCAAACAGGCCCCACACAAACAGTTTGCTTGCTGCAGCTTTTCTGTTTCATTTCTAAAAAGATCTATTATTAGCGGGTATGGTTACAATCATTCGCTCCACTGTTACTTTAACTATTTTAAAATATTATTCCTTTTGACAATGGAGCGTTGCGGATTTCCAAGCAAATGCATTTAGCAACAGCAAAGCGGCGACAGACCCCTGTACCTGTGAGGGTGCCATGATGGGACGGCATATAAGTTGTTCAAACAAACAAACAAACAAACAAACAAACGATCGGACTGATTTCAAAACGCAAAATTGCTCCTGCTCAGATGGTGTCTCTCTCTTTTCCTAATCAGGTCTGCCAAACAGATTCTGCACCGTGCTTTTTGGATGCAGGAGGAGTTTGAAGCAAGGAGCAACGGGGAGAAAAGGAGTGGCAGGAAATGGACTTGCCGCACCGCAGAATTAATGCATCTACGACTGTCTGAGGGGACTCAGTAAGACCACCGTATCTAGAATCCAAAGCCAGAATATCTGCTGGTGTCCGAGTCTGTCGAAAAGGCAGCTGCAAGACCACTGGGAGGTAAAGGAGATAGAAACACAGAAACAGAGCGAGTCAGAAGGGGCCTCCTGGGCCATCTAGTCTGACCCCCGGCTCCAGCCGGCTCCGCTCACGACATGCCCACCACGTGCATGTCCAGCCTGCTGCTGGTAACATAGAGCCATCCCCGAGTTGAAAGGATAAAAATAAGGTGTGAAAGAAAGAGCACCTGCTGCCAAGGCAAGATTAGCAGTTTGGGCAGAGCATCACAAACGTGGCCACAGAAGCCACAAGCGAGGGGCAGATGTACCACAAAAGGACTCCTTGCAGAAGGAAATGGCTCCTGATGAGTCAAAGCTGGCGACCCCGTCTACACACCACTGGAGATGACCAAACTTAGAAGTGAGAAAGAACAGCCCTTCCCATACCGCCCACCTGCTTTGCACAGAAGAAAATTCCCCCAAACAAATTAGAAGCTGAAGGCAGGCTCGATATCATGTATGTGCAGATCGGGCCGCAATCCCTCACACAGAGGTCTTCATAAATATCTGCTTTTTCGTGGCTTAACCAAAACCAAATGGCATTTCTGACTGCTTTTATTTATGGTTACGTCCTCTCTCCCAGGCCATCTAACCTGTTTCCCCCTCACTGATGACAAGCTTGGCCTTACTTGAACATTACGGCTGGCCTACACGAGGGAGGAGGAGAGGGAGACGCAGGCCCGATCCACCAAGTCCTGCTGGAAGATGGCTTAGGGCGTAACTGTGTGGATCGGAGGACTGGGGCCCCGACCCTGCCTCACCTGCCCCCTCGCAGTTGGGCACGGATGGAATCACAGCCGCTGCTGCTCTTAGGTTGGAAGAGCGACCTCGGAGAGGGGGAAATGGAGGGTGCCCAGAGGACCTCCTCTTCTCCCACTCCAACAAGTGGCAACTAGCCAGGAGGAAAAGATTGCTGGCCTGCATAAAGCGCCTGCAGTCTGCAGGTTTACAGATATTCGGACAGGGCTGGGAGCAATTCCCACCCCACATCCTCATTCCTTTCTCCTCGTGTGTGGTGTCCCAAGGCTGAAAGTCCAGTAGGCAAGGGACTGCGTTCTTTTGCTGAATAAACATCTCAATGAGGTGGTCGAGCAGACGCTGTCCCTTCAAGCTGTACACGAGACGTAATTTTAATTGCTTGCAAGTGCCAAGAAATCTCTTTAAAAAAAAAAAAAAAAGGCAACCCTGCAAGCAAAGAGCAAGGCCAGAACCTCTTGTACTTATTACGTGCTACATTTCGGTTTTCGGGAAGGTTTTAAAATTTATTTAAGACAGGCAAATGTTTAACAACTCTGCCACTGAACGGGCCTGCTCCCTCCTTTCCCAATCACATCCCTTCCAAGTGAACTCAGTTTCTCCGGGAAACACTTGGTACAGCTCTACCCCAAAAACTGTGAATCAGGGCAACACAATTATGGTTTGGACCCTTGGCGGGAAATGTTCCCGGTGGCTTCTTCTGCCCCACCGAAGAAAACTTATGGAACTCCCTTCCACTGCAGAGTTGCCAATATTGTGCGAATTGCTCAATTGGAGCAGGGAGCTCAGAAAGAAACGGGGTGTGGACATGTCAGGGAATTTCCTCGAGTTCTGCTGCAGGGAGGGGTTGCTCTGAAGCTGCCCGACCCTCTGGGAAGCAGCTGCTTCATGCACATCACATGAAGAAACTGAGCTAAGGGAGAAGTTCAAAGCAGACAAGAGGAAGCTCCCTTCCTTCCCTGCCTGGTGCATGTTAATTTATGGAACTGACTGCCACAAGATACTGGCAATGACATTAATGGGGGGATTAGACAAATTAATGGAGAAGGTCTGCAGATGGACTCCAGCCATGACAGCTCTGCAGAGTCTCCATGATCAGGGGCAGTCTACCTGTGAATGTTTGCCGGTGGGGAGCCACAAAAGGGACTGCACGTGGAAAAAAACTGCAGAAGGGGCGGGAAACCACCCATTAATCAGATGTCTGTGGAAAGGGGGTGGCCCATCCGGATTCTGGCACCAATAACAATTGGTTATTGACTGTAGAATGCAAACTTGTGTAACTGGGGGAGGAATTTGGCTTTCCCTGATCTATTTAAGGCCTGGTTCCTTTCTGTGGGAGAAAAAAATCTTAATTTGCAGCAATTTCACACAAAAAAGGCACAATCCTGCATAGGGCAGAAAATCAAGCCAGGGTGCTATCTGTACATTCATGAATGAACACACACACACACACACACACACAGAGAGAGAGAGAGAGAGAGAGAAAGAGAGAGAATGGCAACTGCTTTGCCATTCTTAAGTCCAATTAGGACAAAGAGCAGGGTAAAAAGATCTCGAGATCTATCTGCTGACCTCGTCAAACTTGCAGGAATTTAGCAAGCTGCGTTCATGTGCGTATGTAAACAAGGCCAAGACAGAAACAAGTTGTGACATCAGACAATGGAAGCGTTTCCCCACGGGGAAGACAAATCACCCAAAGCGCGCTGTTTCTGCAGTGTTTTTCTTGGGAGCATCCTGAATCCTGCATGCCTCGGCCAGAGTGAAAACGTCTCTTGACTGCTACTGAAATTATGTCTGTTCCTGGTGGCCAGCCGGCCCATCCCTCGCCTGCAGTGCACTGAGAGCCAGAGTCAACAACCCTCTTTTGAAAGAGCCAAGATGCAGGCCGGCCTGATCTTGGCACACAGATGCAAGGGACACGAAGAGCTGGCCACTGGCTAAGACACTGGCCGGCCGAGGCAGGCGGCACACATCTGCCTAAGAAATCCCACTAAGTGCCCCGAACCAGAAAGCCTGCAGCAGGTGTTTCTGAGGTACGCATTTCTCAGCAAGCACCATGGACAAAGTTCTCTCCTAGTGCATCCGCTGCATTTGTAAGCTCTTGCACCAAAAGAAAAAGTTTAGTTTTTTTTTGAACGGTTGTCTTTAATCTATGAATTGAAGCAATTAGTCCACAGCCCATGCCAACACCACACGCTCTTGGGCAGCTCCCAGATCTGCAGCATCATGGCCACGCCTATCATAGCTGCTGGCCCTAGCTTTTACTTGTGTCGGTGTATCACCATGCAGCTGAATCCAGCGACCGTTTTAACTCCTCCACAAAGTCCCTCCCCACAGCATTGCTCTGGGGCATCGTGGAAAATGAAAATGGTGGCCCCCAGTCAGCACCTTGGCTGCCAGGGAGTCAACCACCGGCTAGCCACTGGTCTTGCCAGGGGAGGGAGGGAGGGAGACCGACCAAACCTAGGCCTGGTCCTGGATCAGCCAATCAGAGTACGATCTTGTGCCTGCTCAGACAGAATAAAAGTCCTACGATTCCCAGAATTCCCCAAGCTGCAACTCCCCCACAAAGGACCCGCCATCTTGGTCACGTGGATCGCTGAAACAGGCACCTGCGACTTTTCTGAGGGCCTTTGCAACGCTGCTCTATGCTAAAAAAAATTGTCGTGGATGAACAGGAAATATTCACTGGTTTCTTACCCACATGCAGGCCTCTAGCCTGACTTTCGAGATGATGGTCCATAAAGAAATTGATCCTTCAACCCCCTCTTCCACAGGGCAGGTAATTTGGTCAGGATACGGAGGCTCAGGGAAATCCACAGAGTTGCATTCATAAGCAGCAAGCGTCACTGAAGCGATGTGTGGACCCTGCGCCGGAAGAGAAGGACAAACAGGAAGACCAGCGTTGCATCAAACGCAGCCATGCTTTCCACAAACAGCTGCTAACGTAACTCCCCGGGATTTTTCTTCTGTTATCCCCAGCACAATACGCTTCTATGCTGCTTTCCTTCCTCTTGCAAAGAACCCGAGGCAACCTGCAAAGTTGTCCTGCTCTCTGTTCTTTTGTTGCCACAACAACCCTGTGAGGTAGGTCAGGCTGAGAGCCTGTGGCGAGCCCAACGTGAGCCAGTGAACTCTACACGATTGGATCCCACAGTGACAATCCCCAAATGCAGGCCTAGCGTTACCCCACCTTTGTGGCTAAGGATGCGGTTGCTGACAGCAGCTTTGAAAGTCCTAGCTCACGAAAGGTCCCGTTTGGTCCAGGTTCTCCAGGCCCCTTGGCTGTCAAACTACCGACCATCCCATAATCTTCCTCCAGACTTTGAGATGGGACAACTGGGGAGGGGGGAAGCTGATGCGCTACAGAGAAGTGCCTCATTTGTTAGGGCAAACGAGACGGTGGAACCGTCAAATGCTGTTACTGCGCACGGAAGCAACCGCTTGGCTGGAATGAAGGTGTTCAGGAAGGAAGTCTGGAGAGACTGAGCCCCAGAGTGATGACACAAGGTGCTCGGCCTTTTTGACAATCCGAAAGCAAACAAATCATCAGGCCCACGTGAATTCCAACCCAGAGCTCTCAAACAGCTTGAATATGAAATTGCTGATCGTTTAATAAAAATAGTAACATGTTCGTAAGAGCAGCCTCTGCCCCAGAGGAACAGAAAATGAGTGATGCAGCACTGATTTCTGCTCTGGGGAAACTGGTCGCAAGCATGATAAAGATAAAATCAGTAAGTGTACACAGCAGAGGTCGGCAACCCGTGGCTCCGGAGCTGCATGTGGCTTTTGAATGCCTCTGCTGCGGCTCCGCCGCTCGCGTCACAGCCGCCGTCGAACCGCGGCCCGTGCCGGCACAGCGCTTGGATAAATCGAAGAAAAGTTTATGAAGAAAACCGAACGTTTCATGGTACTTGGGTAGATTCATTTGCTTTTACTGCTGACGAACTTATGGGGTTTGCTGTTTAATGCATGCAGCCCTTTAGCACTGACTTTGACTCTTCAGGAAGCTGTTCTCCTATTCAAAACATATGAAAAGAGTCCTACTAGTTTATAATGTAAGATTAAAAATAACAGTTTTTAGTGACTGAACAAGAGCTGCAGCTAAATCATAATGAAGATATACCTAGCATTAAGGTAAAAAATGATATATGCAGTGTTCTCTTCATTTTAGATGTCAAAAGGGTTTTGCGGCTCCCGGTGTTTTCTTTTGTATGGGTCCAAATGGCTCTTTGAGTGTTAAAGGCTGCCGACCCCTGAGCTAGAGGGACGAGCCCCGCGCTGAGAAAGATTCAGCACGGCTTCCAAAAGAGCCAATCCTTTTTCAAACTATGGAACTGGCTAGCACGAGATGTGGGGACGGCTGCCAGCTTGGATGGCTTTAAGAGAGAGACATTGGGGGAGAAGGTGAGCAGTGCCTCTTTGCCCTCCTCGTTGGAAGGCTGCTTTCAGGATCCGAAGCGGGAGCCCTGAGCATCCCAGTTGCTGGGGAACATGGACAGAGTGGTCTTGTAGGTTTTTCATGGGCGGCCAGTTGGCCACAGTGTGAACAGAAGCCTGGACTAGCTGGGAGAAGACGGCTTTTCAGGAGGCAGCTTTAAATATCTGCCGACACACGTAAAGACTGGAACTATTCAGTAGAGGCAATTCGATAATGCAGAAGGAAATGGGGAAGGGTTGAGTTCTAGAGTTCACAAAACCACCCTGCAACAGGATATAAAACAAAACAAATAAAACAGGATGGTCATTTAGACTGATGGAGTGTGGAATATTCAAATCCAGAGGCTGAGAATCTGGTACCGGTAGTCTCCGCCCTTGTTCCTCCAGCTTTTCCAGGGCCAACGGGCGCATGTATCATGTGCACAAGCCGTCTGGATTGCATTCATCTGTTCTGCCACTAGTTCAAACTGAAGGGGGCCCTATTATGCACATGCCGAGACGAGGGAGCCTCGGCTGTTTCCACAGTCTTAGCTACCAAGCTGGGTGGACAGTCATCTCTTTTTCTATATCGGCAGTAACGAAAAGTAGAAATGCTTTTGGTACAAAGGCACATTCAAAACTGGCTGGAGATTCTGACTTGCGCACAAATCGCTTCCTGTAGCTCCCCAGTTCGGCCTAGATGAGCAACTGTGGCCCATGGAAGATGCCTAGTTTTTGTGGCGGCACAGGGGAAAGGGAGGAGAAAAGCAGCTGCTAGCGATGGCGGAAGGTTCGCCTGCACTCAGGCTTATTAGGTCAAGGTGTGATCCTGAAACCAGGATGGGTGTCAAGGGTAGATACACACTCTGTCTGTGGCTTATTCTCCAGGAGTTGCTCTCCTTCTTAGTCTGCAGTGGACTGAGGAGGAGGAGGAGGAGGAGAGGCCGGTGCCTCTGTGCCCTGCCCGGCAAGCAGCAGCCTTGATGCGAATGCGGGTCCAGAGCGAGAGCAAGAGCAGCCGGCCGAAGTGGCAGGGAGGGTGTAGACTCACTGGGGGACGGAGCCTTGTCCAAAGGCCACCCCAGAATAGCTCCATTTGAAGCGGAAGTCCGCCACCGGTGGAACACAAACGCGGCTGAGGCCCAGTGCAGGATCACCATCAAGCAAAACTAGATGTTGCGCCTAACGTGTTTGCCACACCACAATACTCTCAAAGCCACATAATTGTGCGTTATGACATGCAAGCAAAGGAGGTTGGATTTTAACCACAGAAGCTGACCTGAGAATTTCCTGATGGGGTGAGTGATGAACACCAAAGATAAAGAAATGCATTTGTGGCCATGAGGACTAGGAACCTGTTTTGTTGTTTTTAATTTTTACAAGAAAAACGACTGTTCTTTTTTGGGTGGTTGTTCTGCATTTGAGGAATACTCATGCCTCTGCTTCTGACAAAGGATAGAATAGTACAAGGCACACCGTAAAATCCCTGAAGAAACACTAATTTTCCAGTGATTTGCCAATCGCTGCATTATTAATTGAAAAGGGCAAGTGCTGACAAGAGAGAATGTGATAGGGTAAAACCACTGAAATTCTTATTAACATCATCCCTTGATAACTTGGGGGCAAAACATTTGGTTGCCACACAAAAGACCCTAAGAAGTTTGTGGTTAGATTGGAATTTGAGGGGGTGAATGAAAATCAACATGACAAGGGAGATGGTTACCAGAAATGAACTTTCTTCTGTTTCATCTCCCCTCCCCAGTTTTTGGAGTAAATTTATAAAGGGGTAATACAGCAAACACTTTTCTATAGAGCTCTGTTTTGTTCTAAAGGGAAGGTCACTGTACATACAATTACAACTTTCTGTAAAGTTTCAAAACTTTGGTGGTTAACATTTTAGGTGGTTTATGTGAAGGTCACTGATAAATGACTTAGTTTCAGAAAGACTGCTGTGCTGAAAGAAGGGGGGCTTACACACACAAACTCAAGGGATACCCCCAAACCACTGCATTTGGATGTATTGCTAAACAAAGTCTTTATGTCCATCAAAATCTCTCCTTTTCTTACATTCATTAATTCAAACAGAAACATCCTACCAGCTCATATTGAGGTAGTTCTGTGGGATACCCTGGCCTCAGAGAAATTACTGAAATTCCCTTTTTTATCATATGCTTAAGATGACTGAAATTGATAGTATCACATACTTAAACTGCAAGCACACACAAAATAATTCTAAATACCAAGAGTTTAAAGAATGAAGCGGTGGGGGGAGGGCAGACCTGCTGGCTGTTAAAGTTTCTTAAGGTCTGCACTTCTCTTTAATGATGCAGGATTTCGAAGCCTTCAGCAGAAGTCTCGGTGGCACAGAGTGTGCCACTGAACGTCTGATGAAGAAAACAAGAGCGATTTTCTCATGGGAAAACAGGCACTCTCGTCTGACCACAACAGGCGACTCATCTCCTTATGTCTCTTCCCCCTCCTCAAAAGCTATCCCTTGTGGGTATGCTTTGTTTTTAGGATGGGAGAGAAGTCAACCGCCGAGTCAGTATCTGGAAAGGCCAGGTAAAAATCCTATGGTGATTCTGCTCCATTGCTCATCCAGTCTCTCGCTCACATCCCCGAAAGCGGTCCTGAACACCATTACTCAACGACAGGCCCCGATGATATCATGGCCTGCCAAATAAACTCTCCAGCCGCTGACAGATGCATCCTCCTCTGTGAACCGGATTATTCCCTCTCAAAGCGATTCATCGCCACCCGCCTTTCTTGCAACAGCAAATCCCTCAAGTTAGCGGTGGGCTCTGTGAAGGAGGGTGTCCCTCTGGCCCATCCCAGGTCTCTTTCCAAGCTGCTCCCAAGGGTGCCAGCGTTCCGGGAGAGTGGGGAGGAAACACCCTACTGTTTCTCTTTCTCTCATTTCTGCAACAAAGCTTTAGAAGGCAGCTGCCTTCCCCAACTGGTCGCCCTCGCGGTGGCGGGTGCAGCAGCCCGGCGCATCCACAGGACCGCCAGGTGGAGGAAAACAGGAGAACTTTCAGCCCTATTTGAATAATCTGTCAGGAAGAGGACAATTTGAAGAGATTGCCTGGGTGGGTGCCAAGTGCTCGGGGCCATCCTGGCAGACAGGAAAATGAGTCGCATCAACTCATTTGTTACCAGCTGTGGAGAAACGCACGTTATTTCACAGGGCTGGGTTGCGACGTGAGTACTCCCACGGCTGGGGTTTTTCACTGTTGGTCTCCCTCGGGATCTGCAAGCCGTCGGTAGTTTTCTAAGCTGTGTGTTCCAACAGCCCCCATTTCCCAGGGGCTCTCACTAAAATCAACAGCTTCAGGCAGGCTGCTCACTAGCAGGGATCTCTAGCAAGAGGTACGCCCACGGCATCCCCCCTGGACTGCACAGAGAGGCATCTGAAGGCAATTAAGAGGAAGCATGAGTCATCTGTAAGA